ATATATGTTGTCGAGTAAAGCATGACTCGTTCAGGATCAGATTTCTCTACATATTTCACCAAACCCTTCTTTCTGGTTGCTTATTGAGGGGAAAGGGGATTTAAACAGATCGCGGCTCCATGGTACTTGACCAGCTGCAGTATCTGATGCATTTCGTATAATTTTTCCCATAGAGTCACATCATGAACGATGTTTCAGGATCTGGTACTCCTCATATACTACCGCATGAGCATCATAAGTTGTTCGTATGCTCGAGTATGTTGGTTAGCGCAGATCATGTCCAATGTCAAATTTCACTGCGTATCGCACTGTTCCCTTTGTCTTAGTTACTATATGGAAAGGAGGCATTTGTTGTGGATGAGCAATCTTTTTACAATGACGCAGCAAATGCCTCATCGTATCAGAGCATTAAATGTTTAAACGAGGAACATAACGAATCTTAAGTAGTCTGCAGTTTTGTACAGCGTCTAAAGATGGTAATACAAGACAGCAGCACCATTCATATCGTCTTGGTAAATGTTGGAATATTTAACACCTGCTCCTATGTGGTAAATCTGATGCAGCTTAGTGTAATAAATGTGCAAGCTGCAAGCTACCATATGCATACGATAATTGCATAATACTAAAATTACATTTAATGCGTTGTATGATGCAGTATATACGACGTTGCACTGCATACTCGGAAACTCGCAGTATATTTTACTGATGCCATATAGGAAATACTCTCTCGTTTACTTCATAGCATTAAACAGTGTATATCACTACTGTTGCTGTATACTACGATGTCAGATTTGATGGTTTTTGTTTGTCATCCGATAGGCAACTGTATTGCGTTGTTTATAGAAAGAAACATTTTTGTGCTGTAATAGCAGTACCGAAGCATGAAGAAAGTACTCTATATTCATGCAAAATTTTGCATACTTAGTTCGGTGAAACAATCAGATTAGCGCCGATTTACTACTGTTGTGGAGCAGCTGTCACGATATTTAGTTCATAGTACTGCTATATGCGGTAAGGCTGATGCCATATGCTAAACGTCATGGTGGATACTATATTGTACTGTGGTTGATTTACCGTATACCATTACAATTAATATATGGTTACTAGTACTGTAAAGCGGCTATAGTCATCCGTTTCATAGTATTATGTCTAGTTAGTGCTACACAGTTTTATACAGCAAATTTCACGATCATCGCTGTGTGGTTCTTATGACTATATAAAAATTAATCTGACATTCGTTGCAGATTATTGGACATAAAGCAGAAGGTTTTCGTAGATTATAAATATGGTAGTAGTTACTGTATATTTGCCATGCTTATATCGAGTCTGTCTTTATTTAGCACGTAGTAGATTGGAAGAAAAATACGAGTTAGTTCGCCGGGAGCGAAGTGATAGCGTAATGGTAGTGTACAGTAGGTGTAATGTACTGTACTGCATGTAGTGCTGTATGATTATAATGAATATGCAGCAAAATACGTGACGTTATCGTGTAGAATTTTATGGTAACCAGTGATACCATTTAGTTAGGTAACTGTTATATGGTTAGTGTGACTGTGTAGCTTTAGTCTTCATATGCGTTGCATAGTATTATATGGTAAGTGCGACCTACAACAATATGCGGAATTTTTCTGATGTTGTTATAATTAACTAGACTATATCGTGTATGTTGTATTTAACACTCGATGGTTCATAGTAATTATGATGCAGTTGTACATGCTGACTGTAACGATGCAGTTGTTGACTTTACAGTACAACACTTATCATTGTAATCAATGTCAGTTAATAGAATATCGACATTTGCTCTCTGAGAGGTTATGCAGTGATGCTAGTTCATGTATATAGAATGTTTCAGATGTGATGAATAAACAGAATATAATGCATGTTGACCATTACTCATTACATTTAATATGCAATTAAATGCACCATTGAAATTAAAGTGTTCATTTTCTGATGGTGTAGCTGATGCACATGGTATGAAATGCTCTGCTATGCTGCGTTATCACTATAATATTATCAGATGTCAAAATACCGCAGAACACCTGTACCATGGATTAATCTCTTTTTACCTTCCCCACCCCGCTAGCATTCTCGAAGTAAAGGACGGTCAAACTGTGACTTTTAAGTTGGTACGGTAGAAATATGTTTGTTGTTTTACGTGCTAAATATCATTATATTGATTACAAATACTGATTAGCGTATGATTATTTTGATGACACGATGAACTTAATGTTTAAAGTATAGAATTATGCGTAAATTATTCAGATTTAGGTAGATTCTGCTAAACTTATGATTGAGGGAACTTGTGGGAGATAGAAGCTATTAATTAAGCTATTTTCGATTCGATTAACTTACTTGGTTACGCGAGCATTTTCAAAACGTGGCATATTTTCATGAAGTATCGAGTAGTCTACATTCACCAGGGAGAGGAAATTGAGGTTACGTCATGTGAAGTGTAAAAAATGTCGATCGAATCTGGTTAAGCAGTTTTTCGGGTAAAGCGACGATAGCCAGTCAGAAATTTCGAAAGCGATGGCCGGATTGAGCTGTTTACCCATAAATGGGCGTTATTCGTGGCTGCTGGCAAATTGGAAGTGATAAACTGGAATTAATGA